TAAGGACACTAGTTTATCTTTGTTTGTTGAAAAGAAAGTTTTGTGTTAATATCTGTTTCTTTTTTCTAAGAATCTTTTTGGTTTATGTTTTGTACTCTAACTATAATACTCTACTAATGTATTAACTTGTTATTCTCTTATTTTATTATGAAATTTAATTTTTTTATAAAATAAAAAATACTAAAAAAGAATGAGAAACATAACAAAATGTTAAAAAGGAGTGAATCTGGATAAAAGATACAGGCGTTTTGAGTGATATTCTTATAGTTTTTAATGTACATATGAAATTATCTGGAATAAGGAGGTAAAAAATATAGACCAAGATGGAATGCTAGGGCACAGGCTTGATTTTATAGGGTAAAAAGTGAATTTATCCCTTGAAAATGACAGGTACTCAATTATTCAGGATTGTGTTTATGTCATTTTGGAAATAGCATTTTCTACACCAATTATTCTATTTATACAACAAAAATATGCAGACTATTTTAGTATAAAGATGTTCTGTATCACAGAATTTCAAGTTAACAACACTCACACCCATCACTAATTCTCCTGCTAAGAGTAAATATTTTCAGACACAGATCCCCCATGTTCTTAATGAAGGAAAAAGATTAGCCAGGTGTAGTAGCACACAACTATAATCCCAGCAGTCAGGAGGCTGAGACAGGAGGATCACTGTGAGTTCGAGGCCAGATTGGGCAATGTAATGACTTCAAGACCACCCTTCTAAAGCAAAACTCTGTCTCAACCACCACTCTGAAAAGGATTAACAGAAAAAAAATTCAAATTGCTCTATGTATTTTGACTTATTGCACAAAAATATTCAAGATACAACCTTCTGAGGTGGGAGAAAGGAAGAATGTCACTTTACAACTATTGCCACTTATACAGAGTTATATGTAATAAAGTACTCATACATGGTTAAAGGTTTGCCTGGGCTACTGTTTCTGGTAGGACAAGGGCTTTAGATTAGACCAGTACTTAATAAAGAAAAAGGAAGAGAGACATAGGTAGCATAAAGATAAAACCCATACACTGCGATCCGAATAATGGAGTTTCTACTCAGTTCCTTCTAGAACTTTATGTCCAGACTGAAAAGAAACAAGGTATTTTTCATCTTGGCACTACATTTCCTAATGCTTTCATGTGCACTATATTACCACAAATTCTAAAGCCTTTACTGGGAAAGAAATAAGTCACAGTGGTAACTTAGGAAGTAGTGGACCCAGCCAGACATAGAATGAACACACGTCAAATGGAACAACAGCTAAGGCCAAGAGGAGAACTTTAGAACAACATGGGGCTTGACCATCTCAATACAGACAAAACCAAACTTCAGTGGGATACAAAGGAATAAGAGAAATCAAGTAACAAAGATAAATCTTGTGAATTCTGAGAAACTCCTTAGAGTGACCTACTAGAGTATTTTATAAAATAACAAAAAATTTAGATACTAAAAATTTTCCTTTAAGAAGTATAAATGTATAGTTTACCTTTCATAAAGAAATAAAGACAAAAAAGTAATAGTACAGGATTGAGAATTAGAAATTTCTACATTCAAAATAAATCATGATATGAATTAATTTTGTATAACATGAAGACTAGGAATAATATGAATAAAATTAGAGCATTTTTATTACATAAAACATTTGGATATTATAGCTTCAGTTTCAAATCTCAGTACTCTTCATTCCATGAGTTTATCTTGCAAATCACACAAACATTTCCTTGTCTGCTGAAAAAGGCAGCACCAGATTAAAATACATAAAAAGGTAGAATAGAAGCACACTGAATAGAAGCACATCTCCTCTTGAAGATATAGCAAAAATGGAAATTTAGGGCAGCTGGTTTCTATACCAACTTACTAAACTAACTTAGTGTGACATGAAAATCACTCTATTCATCTACTGTCCTATGCTCTTCTGTTTTCTACTAGCAAAAGATGAAGGCAAAAATACTACCATTATCAAATAAGTTGTGGGGAATGAAAACATAATTTCAAAAACAGTATTTATTTAAAATACTTATAATCTGAAAATTATTTCAAAATATATGCCAAAACACAGAATATATATTTAAAAACAAGCTAAACTAAAAAATACAATTAAAATTAATTCTGAAAGCTGAGTATGGTGGTGCATACCTGTAATCCCAACTACTCGTGTGCTGAGGCAGGAGGTTTGCAAGTTCAAAGGCAGCCTGGGCAACTTAGTGAGACCCTGTCTCAAAATAAAATCTTAAAAGGGGTGGGGGCATATTAAGTGCTTGTAATTCTTAGAGTTGTAAAAAAAAAAAAAATTGAACTGTAAGCTTACGTTGCAGATTCATGCAGGATCCCATAAATGTAACAGTATATCAACTTATTCTACTACTTGTACTGGTTGAGTTTTAAAATTTCCTCCCTAGGGCAGAAAGAATCCTCAATGTGTACACAGGGATTCAAAGCAGCAGAATATGAGATAATGTTCTCTCCATGTTGGTGAAAGCTGGGTATTTGTTACTTATTATTAGAGAAACTGTTGAGCTAGGAATTAGACATATGTAGGTCTTCTATGCCTAGGAAAGCCCTTTCTTTCCTTTGTAGAAAATTGAAGTCCTTGAGTAAAAAGCCTTTTTCATTCAAGTTTGAAAATGGCACACTGGTTCCATATACTTCTCTTTATAAAAACAGAGGCTGCTTAACCATAAGGCATTTAATTAAAAGAAAATTTGCTCATTTTAAAGAAAAAGATGACACTTATTACACCTGACTGGAAAATTGTGTATTGGCAGGTCATGGGCTTTACTTAAATGTAATTCATGGAAAATCGCATTCCCTGTAAAGATTAAAATGCATTTGTTTATTCTGATTTTGATACAAAGGAAGCCAGAATTACATATTTGAGTATTAAGAACTCAGCCTCTGAAACCAAAGATATTTTTCCTTGGGTTTTTACTATATGCAAAGAATATACATGATATTTTAAAAACATGAGTTCAAACATATAGGCAATCTACACTCAAAAGAATTTCAATGAATTAATGAATATATATATATATACTGATTGATTGCACTGCGGGTGCTTGAACTCAGAGCCTTACACATGCCAAGGATGCAGTCTACAATGACCTATAGCCCCAGCCCATATATATTTTTATATAGAGTACTTTTCAAATAATAGTAACAACCCCTAGGTTTTTGTTTGGGAAAAACATAGGGAATGGAATGAAGAGAGCTTTTCAATGGACACTCAGCATTAGCCTGGGTTCATTATTCTTTTTTTTTCATGGAACTTGAGCAATGAATCAACTCTTCTAAGCTTTTGTGTCACTGATAACATGAGTATCAAAAAGAACTTCAAGCTGGGCATGGTAGTACATACAATCCTGTAATCCCAGCACTCAGAAGGCTGAGGAAGCAGGATCCCTGTAGGACACGGAGGCCACTCTTGAGGCTAAAAGGGCCTCTGAGTTAGGTCACCCTGGGGCTCGGAGGAACCAAAGGGACTCGGCATATCTGCCAAACAAAAAAAGGACTCCAAACTCATTACGCTACCCATTTCATGCTTGAGTTCATACAAGCACATCCTGACTGAATGCCTCTCGACACCTGTACTGACAGAGAATATATTAGATGCTAAGGCATTTTTGAAAAGCCCTGTTGAAAAAGTTTTTCTTTATTTCTTGTAAGCTTTACCAGGTGGTGCCAGTTCTACTATTTTAGGTGTTATCAAGCCAGAAAACCAGCTTTCATATGTGAACCCTCAAAATATTTGTGGGAAGTTACTGTCTAGCACAATAGAATGAATCTTTCCACGGATTAGATCATTTTTGCCCTGAAGGTTTTCTAGTTTCACACTTGGGTTCCAGGATTTCAGCACTATGCTACAGGTAAGATAATCACTAACCACATTCTAATTTCTATTACTGTAGGATAAGATCTCCATATTGAAACCTTCCAAAGTCATTTCATAGCTCACTTCTAAGCCTAACATGCCATTGTAGGTTTTCTGAATCCAAATGCATGTTCTTACATTTATTCCATAAAATTCATTCAGTTCATTAATTATATCTGAAAAGATTTATTAGATCTTCAATGTGTCATTCAATTTATTTGTTACTCTTCTGTTTTATATCACATTAGTTAAATATGTTAAGTTTTGTGTTTGTTTTGGGGCAGGGTGGGGATTAAACTCAGGATCTCATGCATGCTAGACCAGTCCTCTCCTACTGAGCTACACCCAGAGCCCCAAATTTAGATGTACATATTGCTTACATCACAAATTAGAAGTTGGGCATAGTGGCACATGCCTACCAGACACTTGGGAGGCTGAGGCAGAGGGATCACTTGAGCCCAACAGTTTAAGGCCAGCCTGGGCAAATAAGGAAACCCCACTGAAAATCACAAATTAATCCTCAGATCTTCATTTATCTGTTAAATGAACTATTGCCATGCATGGTAGTACATGCCTATAATTCCAGCAGTTGGGAGGCAGAAGCAGAAGGAGAAACAAAAATATGCTCACAAAAGTCTATGTACAAATGTACACAGCAGCTTTATTTATGGTAGCTAAACAGGGAACAACTGTAGTGTCCATCAACAAGTGAATATAATAAAATGGAGTATAATAAGGAAGGAATTACTGGTACAGTAACTAAATGAATGGAAACATAATGTTGAGTCAAAGAGGCTAGACACAAGAGTACATACTGTACAGTTCTATTCATTTTTAGTCTAAGGAGAACAAAGCCAAATTATGGTGACAGAAATAAAAAAGTGGTTGCCTCTTGGGGGTAGTGGATGGGACAGGCTGAAATAATATGTATAAGGGAACTCTCTGGAGTGACTGAAATGTTCAGTTTTGTGTTTTCAATAGGTAATAATTATATACTGCAAAAATAATGCATGTCATACTTCAATTCAAATTCAAATTATATTCCTACTAAAATATTTTTTCTATAAGGAAAAGTAACAGAAACAGAAACTAAAGTTATAACATTTCCATTTGCAGGATGCTTACCTGTCTAAAAGCTGATCATGTTTTTCTAAAGCATCCTTTTCCGCCATCACTGCTCGGTCCTTTTCAGCCAAAGCATTATCCCTCACTTCTCGAAGATTTCTAAAATTCAAAAATATTTCATTTATTTCAAATGTATAAGTACATATCTTCAAAGATTCACAAATCTGCAAGCTCAGAACTGGACTGGATGACAGGATATTTGATCAAGTCAGCCACTTACAGTGGCGATGACAGTAGAAACTGAAACTGACCCTGAAAAAAATGCATTTAGTGACAGTTAAAGAGAATGTACAAAACATGGAAGGTAACAACCATAATTAGGAGATTATTCAGCCATGTATAAACCTTCAAAGATTAAATTTTATTTGTTTTAATATAAATAAATATAGAATGTAATAATTTTGTTCATTTAATCCCTATTGTTATATTTTCTAACCTATTTCCTAACTCAGTAAACTCAAGTTTAGCCTCAAGCCACATAGCGTAAGTTAAAGGCCCATACTTTGAATCCTGTTGACTGACTCTAAATCCATGCTGTTCATATCACAGCACCCTGTCTCCAAAAGAACTCAACTGGGTAAGAGAAATTGGTTTTTATTATTCATAGACAATGTTAGTAAAGAGTCATGAAAGCTCACATGATTTGTATAACTCTATCTGATAAATACTGGATTGAAATGCTTAGTGGTCACACTTTGCTATGCCAGTATCCAATGTAGTCTTTTACATGGCAATACTAACAAATTTAAAATTTAAAACACGTCAATCATGAGAGAGTCATAAATAAAAGAGTTTGTGTGTCAGAAATAAAATAAACCAAAAAATTGGAGCAAGGTAATTTATTAAAAAGAAGATAAACTGCTTTTGTAGTTTTGTATTTATTTTTACTTATTATCTAAGTGGAAATGTATTTTAAAGTAGCTATTAGAAATGGCATTTTGCTATTTTCTGAAGTCATCCTAATTGCAATGACCTGAATAAAATTCTCAAAATATATCAAAAATTTATATATAATTCCTAGATGATCTAATATTTTAAACAGTAAATCATTACAAATTGGTTTCACTTTCTATTTCTCAAACACAGCCACGCTATTTTATACATTATTTCAGTAATATAATTCCAAGTAGATAACACTTGCAGCACTAAACATGAATGCTTAGTTGGTAGATGGAGAAGCTTCAGTCCGTATAACTGTATTTCTTTGTATCAGTGGCACTGGATAAGACCAAGCCACAGGAATGAAATAAAACCCAGAACAAGACAACATTAGGGCTTGTAAGAAGATGTACGATTAGAGGGAACTAATAAGCACACCATGTCACAGTCTATTCATCCAGCTAACTGTAAGTGCTATGTTAAGGCATAAATAAAATTCTAAGGTCACAAAGAAGAGTTGATTATTTTTAACTGGAGTAAGACAGATAAGGGAATAAGGGGAAATATTTTAAAAAGTGACATATAAATTAAACCTTGAATTGGTAAGGCATTTCAGAAGGAGAAAACCAAAATTAATAGGGGAAAATTCCAGAAGCTAAGGCTTCTATTAGCAGATCCTCTAATAGATGCTTGTGGTTAAGATTTCTGTGTAAAGCCATTCTCCTCATCAGGTAGCACACCTTCCATATCTATTTCACAACCTGCCTATTTCATATTTCCTTTAATATCAATTGACATGACTCAAATTAGTCTCAGGGGATTAAACAATGTATTCTTCCACTGACAATATTAGTAATAGTAAACATATAGTATTTATCATATGTCAAGAGCTATTCTAGACACTTCACACATAATAACTTGTTTAACTGCCACAACAATCACAAGCTGTAGTTGTACCATTACCTCCATTTTACAAGAGGGAAGACTAAAAATCAAGAGGTTAGACACCAGCCTAAAGTCACATAGCAAGGTAAGCTATGAATTTTAAACATGGACCCCAGCAGTCTGGCTCCAGAACCTGTGCCTTGAGTCATACTATGCCATCACTCATAGGGTGTGACCGTTAACCCTGATATGCCAACCTCCCTGGATTAATAAATGACGAACAGATTAGTAAGGCTCACTCCTGGTACCAGTCCCTGACCTGTTAGGAACTGAGTAACACAGCAGGGGTGAAGGCAGACAAGCAGGTGAAGCTTCATCTGTATTTGTACACATTCCCTGTCATTCAAATTACCACCTGCATTCTGCCTCCTGTCAGTCCAGCAACATTAGATTCTCATAGGAGTGCAAACCCTGCTTTGTTTCACAGACAATTTCTTTTGGGGGATATTCTGACATAATGAGATTTATATTATGTGCCCACAGTAGATGGCACAAATAGATGTCAAATAAAAATGAGCTGGAAAAGAATTGTGAATATACTTTACACTTGCTTTTATGGTTCAGTGTATATGTTCTTTCAGAATTTAGTCAGGTTTGATAAAATACCAGGTAGACTGAATTCCTGCTACAGATAAAACAGTAACTTCTGTACAACAAATAACCCACTTCTAAATGTTAAATGCAGTAGAAAACATAATACAGTTACAGAAAAGATAGCAGAAATTCTAATTTTCTCAAAAGAGAAACTTGAAATAGCAGAAGCTATCTGTAACATATATAAACTAATAAAGCTCAGTTTTTAAAGGTCCAAACTGAGTTTATAACTAAATGTCATTATAATAACAAAGAAAGATGCTGGCTGCTATTATACGAACTGTTTCTAAATACAAAACCCCCAACCCCTCAGCATCCGCAGGAGACTGGTTCCAGGACATCCCCACACCCCGGGTCCTGTGGGTACCAAAACCAAGGATGCTCAAAGTCTTTCATATAAAAATGGCTTTTAACAGATTGAGATAAAGACCTTTATTTTTCCTAATTAGAATAGAAAGGGACAGAAGCGGGCGGTTGCTTTATATGATTAGCTCATTTATAGAGAAAATGAATTAATCATCTCTACCTGCAGACTTTTCTTCCTGGACAAAACATAAAACTGCCCATTTCCGCATCTGATGCTTTTGTTCAGATGGTATAAAACAAGAGTTGTAAGTGGGTTATCTTCTGTTTATAGCCAATTTTACCTTTAATTAACATGGGCAGTCAAAAAGTGAACAAATATGATATAAAAACAAAATGAATAAAGTGGAAATCTTATTTAATACAATTTCTTGAGGGGAAGTTATACATTTGAAGAGTAGAAACTTTTTGAGATCACTGCTGACTAAACATGTTATGTCTGTCTCCTCCAAAACTCATGTTGAAATTATTTATTTTTTAATCAAAATTTCAAAAGGTAAAAATGGAATTACTGCTTCAATACAAAAAATGTGCAGCCCATTTGGATGCTACTGCTATTATTGCTTTTCTTCTATTAGAAATCTATCCTGGAAATCAAGGAATGTACCCCAGAGCTCCTTGGTTGAAGTATAATTTGGTTGTACATTATTATCTGTTAATATGTTCCTACCTTCACCAAAGGTGTTTTTGTCTTTAAAAAACAACAACAAAAAATAGCATAAATAAATAAGTCTACCTGAGGGAATACAATAAATAGGCTTTCAGATAGGAATAAAGAATACTGTGACATAAAGCCCATCACAATTAAACAATAGCTTTGGATCTTCAAGGTCTCTAAATATAGCCTTCATTTTAGAATGGTTTTCAGCTGTCAGAAAAAGAACACATTTCTATTGTTCTCAACTAAAAATGAAAATATAGTGGATACAATTGTAAATTCTGCCTTTTGGGAATTTACCTAGGTATGTACGATCATTGGTTTTTGATCTTTGCCTAGTGGTAAAGTATAAATCTTAGGGATTAAAAAAATCATAATAGTCCTTCAATACTTAGTGGTTTCTTGGTTTCCAGAGTAGGTATTAAAAGAAGAAATCAGACTCAAAAGATTTTCTCTTCTTTGCATCTATTGCATCCAGAATGGGTTGTCTTTTCTCAGTGTATCTTTGACGAAGTTCTTCTATTTCACATTCTATCATGGGGTCCAGTGCTTTTAACCTCATCTGTAGTTTTTCTAAACTTAGATCTTTTAAAAAGTCAAAATCTCCATGTTGAGGAACTTTCCAGTTATCAGGAAAAACATTTTTGGACATAGGGAAGGGCTCATGCACATTCTGATTACAGTTTTCATGAGTCTTATTCTTTTTTTTTTTGGTACTGGGGATCAAACTCGGGACCTTGAGCTTGCGAGGCAGGCGCCGGAACCACTGAGCTAAATCCCCGGCCGTATGACTCTTATTCTTGAAGTCTGGCTTATCAAAGTAGTCCATGAAAGATGGTCTTTGTACTTGTGGTGAAGTTGTGTTTCGTTTCATAGTTCCATCTTCTTCCTCCTCATCCTCACTGTTTATAACCATGGTCCCCAAGTCAGAGTCTAGCATTGTGCTGTTATGTTCAGTCACAGTCTGGGCCCCTTCACTCATTCTGCTTGTGACCCACAACATGCTGACACTTTCTGAACTAGTCTTTATCATGGTGTGAGAATCCAGCTCATCTTAATCCAAATTTTTTTCTTCCTTTTCTAATTCTCACTGCTGTTCTTCATGTCTTTTAGCTTTGATCTCCATAGCTTCTGTGATAAGGTCTCTTAATATTGATACACGTTTTGCATTCTTGATAAAAGGATGCTGTAAAAGTTGTGTTGCTGTAGCTCTTTGTTCAAGATTCTTCACCAAACACTTTTTAACAAAATCAGTAAAATCATCAGACCAAAGGTTGGGCTTCCTGAATGTTGGTGGTGGATTTGTAGGAATCATAAAAATAGCCTTTAGTGGATGTTTATCAGCATAAGGAGGTTTTCCTTCAGCCATTTCTATAGGAGTAATGCCAAGTGACCAGATGTCAGCCACACAGTTATAGCCTATTTCTTGAATTACCTCAGGAGCCATCCAAAATGGAGTTTCTATCACAGTATTGCGTTTTGCCATTGTATCTGTTAACTGACCAGCCACTCCAAAATCTGTCAATTTTGCATGTCTTTCTGTATTGAGGAGAATATTTCCAGCTTTTATATCTCTGTGTATTTTTTTCATAAAGTACAAATATTCTAATCCTTTCAATGTAGATTTTAGAATGGTTGCAATTTCATTTTCTGTTAATGT